AAAAAGAACAATGCTTTAGATTGAAACATATGCCTTAGGCCTGATAAAAATTCACCTGATCCGTCAACTTTATCCGTAAAAATGAGTTTGAATTTACATATCTCAACTCATAACATATAAATAACTCATATTATCAACCTGTACGAATCACAAGTTAAGTTAAGGTCAACTCGTAAGTTAACAGGTTAACCCGTTTGTTTTATTTTTTATTATTATTTTTAAATATTATCTTTATTATTCTTAATTAATTTTTATATTAGTAACTCCTTCCATTAATTCATACTCCTTAATTTTTAGAGAAAAAATAAAGAAATTATGATGAGTTTGATTTAATTATCAAAGTATCATTTTTTTGTTGTTGCTATTAACAATTATCTAAGTATCATGAATGAAATGATAATATAACTAAAAATAATAAAATATGTTATGTTAGAATATAAACATAATAACTTAATGAAAAATGTTATTGGAAGTGTAATTTTATCATTAAAAAAATTACTTAAACTACTTGATAATGTTTTAAGATAATTATAAAATTAAAACTTTATTTTTCAAGAAATTTAAATATTTTACATTTAATATTATTATTGTTAATCAACTTATTATTATTTATAATTTTATGATTTTTTTCTTAATTTAATTATTTATGGTTGAGACTATAAAGCACTTAATTTTAACGAATCATAATATTTTAATTAAATTTAAATATATCTAATTTTATTGTATATAATAAAATTAATAAAACATCATTATAAAAAATAAAAATAAAATCGACCCATAAATTAACCCATAGTCCATTAAAATCTAAGTAAAATTAAGCCTTTTAAACCCACAACTTAGTTATAACCTAACCCATATAATTCATCACCCAAATTGACCTGATCCAAACTCCACCCAAATGTCCGGTTTGCCATGTCTGATATACCCGGTATGTAATTATACTATTCCCCATCCTTGCCTACCTATTGGTCGGACAGCCTCATGGTGGAAGCCCACGTGGTTTTTCTTCCTTGGCAAAAACTCTTTGTAAACCCCTAAACCTATATCAAAATAATATTTAAGCTCTCTAACTCTACTAATAATGCAAATAAACCATTTTCACTCATGGATGTTCATGCTTTTAAAGTGACATTAAACATGAAATATCATTTAATCCATTTGTGAGAAAAACTTATTTGCATCATTAGTGAAGTTTAAGAATTTATCAACTTTATTTTTAATTTAAAGACTTAAATATTATTTTAAAATAAATTTAAAAGTTTAAGAAGGGTTTTTGCCTCCCTCCTTGAGAGCAAATCCTAGGCATTAAATTTGGTTCAGAAAAATCCCCAGATTTATTCCTTTTCCCATACCAATCTGAACCTCCCAAAAAATAATTAAAATTGAGAAAGAATGGGTTAGTCCTACCTTTAAAAAAAAAATTAGAGTTTCAACCAAAATGATATTGTTTTTCTCTCAAAATACCCAGCTTGATGTTCGTTTTTTCTCCCAAAAATCCTCAGCCCCTGCTCGTCGCCTCCTCTGATTCCTTCAATTTTTCACTCAAAAATCTAGCCCCTGCTGTCGACCCCCTTTATGCAATCATCTCCATCTCCTCCTTCACCCCTCTGTAATCATCTTGACTGGTATAATGATTGTAGCAATTACTTACAAAAACCCAAATAACACGCGTGGTTGTTTGGTACTATCAATAGTGACGGATTGTTCATA